GTATTTTATTTTTTTGGTTTTCAATTCGAATTAACAATTAATCAAGCAAAATTTTAAATTTATAAATATTATTCCATTTTTTAGTATGATAATACATTTAAATGATTGATTAAGAAATTGTTCTTTTTTTTTCTTTTTTTTACAGGTAGGAATGAAAAAAAGAATGGATAATGAGAGAAGGTTATCGATCAAGGAAACATCGATTATCGATAATTCCGGAAAATGATGAAGAAATTAAAAAAGTATTTGATCAAATTGACGATGGTGATGTTGCTGTGCCAAAACAAATCCTTGTAGAACTTGTTAAAAAATCATCGATGAGGTGATGATAGTTTTATTCCATTGAATTTGAAATTTTTAATCAAATAATTTAGCAATACTCAAATTTTGTATAACTTTTTACCCAATAACTTACTGAATTTCAATAATTGAAAAAAATTTTTACCATCTCAATTTGCTTTCTAAAACATCTACGAATTATTTCTAGATTGTGAAATATTTTTAGCTTAAGTTACAATGTATTATCCTGTTTATAAATTAGAATATAAGTGCATTAAATTCTTTTTTTTTCTTTGTTTTCCTTTTAAATTAAATTTCAGATTTTTGAATATGAAAGAATGGAAAGGACAACAATTTGATAGAATGTGACGTGTAATATTCATTTTCATTAATATCGAATGAAAAAAAAAAAACAAAAACCGAATATTTCAGACGTTTAACAGCATGTCAGTGCAAATGTACCTGCGGATTCTATCCTGCGGATACCAAGTTAACTGCTGTATCATTATTTACGGAGCAAAGATTTCCATCAACTGATGAAATGACTATTTCATTTAATCCGATGAATCAATTTCCTCGAACAATTCAAGACAATTCCTATCCAGAGAGAGGGTTTGTTAAATTTAAAATTAAAATTTTGATGCAATAGCTAATTTTTAAATTATAACATTTAATTTTAATACAAAATAGAATAGACTATCCATTGGTAACATCGAATTGCTTGCCGCCAATGCAACAAATGCCAACATCCGTTCTACCAGAAATATCGACACCATGGAGTGGAAATATTCCTTTGACAACATCAACAACAATGCAAGAGACATACAATACAACAAACATAAGTTTGTTGCTTTTTTTTTTTTTTTTTTTTCAATAAGTTAACCAATATCAAATATCCAGAAATTCAATCTCTTCAAATGATCAGTAAATGATAAACAAAAAGAAGATATGTAAATCCTCTTCAATAAACTGTGATAATGTGAAATTCACGCAGAGCTATTTGTAATTTTTACATTGTTCTGTATTTTTGTTTTATTTTCATTTTTTAGTTTTTTTTTTTCTGTCTTATTTTTAAATTTTTAATTGCCTCTATATGTATTAGTAAATGTATTAGTAATAATTTTTTGGCAATATTTTTAGATATACAGATTGAAATTTCTCTTACTACCAAAATAAAATACTTTCAGATGACAATTGTTTTTATGTGGATGCATTTGAAAGACTGTTTGTGGATGATAAATTATTACTTCAGGTAAACTATTTCATTAATTGAGAAAGTACTGATTGTTTGTCAAGTATTTTAAATTAAAAATTAAATGAATCAAATTTTCTTATATATTTTGCAAGTTTTGCAAAAAAAATATATATATTACTATACATAATATTCAAGGAATTGGTTATCGCAAATGATATCCTGAAACAACCTTTGGATTTATCTACAAATCAGCGATATTCCAGTGAATTGTCGCTTATGGATGTCGTCCGAATGACCGATTTAGCACTTCGACGTATTATCAGCATGGCTAAAGAACTGACATTTTTCAAAAGTTTATCGAGCAAGGATCAAATTTCTATCCTTAAAGGCTTGATGCTAACAATATCCGTTTCCAGCTTCTTGAGCAATTTCTAATAGATGAAGCCTGATTTAGAATCTTCTGCTAAATCATATAACTTTAGATTTAGTAATAATTTCAAATTTTACGTGTTACACGTGTTACATGAAAATTTTACGTGTTACATGTGTTACACGTCATTAGAACGGCTTTTTTTTTTCTTATAAAATCCAAAATTGTTTATTTTGGTTGGTACTAGATCAGTTGAAAAATAATCGACGTAAAAAAAAAATGAGTTCCAGCTTTGAATTCTTATTTCTGAGAATTGTTCGAAATTCCGGACAAGCTTCCCCATTCAGTAGGAATATATTCACAAATTTCCGAAATTTGATCAGGATTTAAGAATTATTTGAGTTGAATTGGTAAAATTTTATTGTGCAAAAATGAAATTGCCTTTTTGATCGCTAAAATACTGCTACAGGATCATGCAGTGAATTGCTGATATTACGAGGAGTTATGGTATTTGATCAAAAGAAACATGCATGGAACACGAGTGTAATACAGGTTTGTATTCTTACCTGTATCAAGTGTGAATTTTTGAACTTCTTGACGCACTAATTAGGATAAATTCTCCACAATTTAATCATCGAAAACTTCCATTCTTCATTAGTGACTAAATTCAATCGGTTTTAGAAGTAACAATTTTAACAAAATCACCCAGTACAAGTGATTCCCATAGAATTACTTTTACTTCCAATTAAAATAATAATTACATGATCTTACAATACTTCCCTTGTATCATATAGCAGCACCGTATCTTTGTCGTAATTCTCATTAATTTCTATTATCTCTTCTTTCAGCATATCGTTTTTCTCTTAATTTTAATCTTTGCTATATTAATTGTTAAATTGTATTACTTAAACACTTTTTCGATCTGTAATACTTTCCTTTTAAACAAATCCTAGCAGTTCTTGTTCTCTCAATTATTTTTATGCAATTACTTTCTTTAAGGCAAATAATGTACCAAATTCCTTCCTTCAACAATATTTTGGTCATTTTGCTTAGAAATATTTATGGTGAAAGTTTGACTTGAAAATGTTCAAATAAGTTTGTAATTGTATTTTAGGGTTCAGCTGAATTAGAAATCAAACTGGATATACTAAAGAATTCGAAGGAATTGAAACATTACGAAGAGCATAAGAGGTACGAATAATTATAGTTCAGTTTTATGAAGTTAATCCTTGTTTGGTTCGAAAATTACAGGTAAAAATAGTAGTATTAAAATTCTGGAATATAAAAATTAAGGTGAATTTGAATTGCTGACAGGTAAACATTTTTCGATTTCATTTAACAAATTTTTGAAAATATTAAACGTATCTTTTGCAGGTTTTTGACGACATTTGGGGAAAAATGGGGTAAGAATGAATATATTATGTTATTACTCAATGCAATAACATTATTTTCACCATTTCGTACAAATCTTCAAGATGTTCAAAAATTGCAAAAGATACGACAAAGATACTGTGATGTCCTGAGAAGGTGCAATTTAAGAATACAAATTTTTATTAATACGTCCTCATTTTTTTTTCTTTTTTTGCTTACTTAAAATGAATTTTGGATTAAATAGGCTTAAGATTTCGTAAATCTTTCAGAAGTATTATGTAATTGATTATCTCGAATAAGTTTAATGTGAAATTGTTAATCCTTGCTTCGTTCATTTAATCGAAAACCATTCAAGATACTTATTACTGTTGTGAATTCAGGTATCTTGGCAACCTTTATGTTGCATCTGAAGCGGAAAAAGCATATCATGGACTGCTCAAGAAATTAGGTGAAGAATTGAATCATTTGAGTCACAGTTTGTTGCGCATTTATCATAGCTTAAATAACAGCGAACTTAATCCATTATTACGCGAACTTTTCGATCTCTCGCAAACTTGAATGAAAAATGTCTTGGTGTTATTCTATTCTTCCTCTTCTCGTTTTTCGTTTTTTTTTCCCTCCTTTTTTTGAATTGTTACATTTTTATTTTTCGCCAATCCCTGAAATAATACCATATGAGTTGAAATAAAAGTGAATATTGTTATTTGACTTTTTTTTTTATGACTTCTTATTTAATATAATAAATTATAATGATAAACTTTCCGCTCCTTTTACAAGTTTTTAAACCATTACTTGTATCAGTCAATTTTGGAATCGTGTATACCAGGATGAATGATTAGAAGCAATAATATTGCCGATAAACAAAACATATTTGGATCGAAAAAAGTGGAACACAATTGGATGTAGTCAAAGTAGAATAATGTTCATACAAAATTTTTGTTCGGGAGATCAAAATTTTTACTCGACAAATAACACAATCATTTTGATCTCTTGGTTTCAATATTCATCACAAATTAGAGATTTGAGATCCGAGGAAATCAGCTTCATAAAATCATTCGATGAAAACCCCGGTATATTGTGCTACTAAGAATATATCACGTTAAATTATTATGAAACGCTAAAGTAATATAAATTCGTCATAAATGCTACAGCAACAATTACATTTTGTTACCGAAGCTTCTCATGCACAATGGAGAAAACTGACTAGGGAACTTCAGGGTATTCAAAACCGACATTATTATGGGAATATCTACTAGGTCATTGCTAAACTGTAACAATCAACTTGACCTAATGTAATGTGACTGCATACAGCCAAGGCCAACCTGAGGCTAGTGGACATTGAACATATGCCAATGTTACAGCTGAGCGATTCATTTCTCGGAAGTCAACAAAATATGCAAGAAGTCGCAAAATACCGAAGCGCTGAAACTGGATCTTTCCAACTATCGAGCTACGAAATACTTAGGCGTGTGAAACCTACGCCAAGATATCTGTACGAACTAATTTTATGTGAACCAATTTTCGAAACGGATCAAATCGGGCCGACCAAACTAAATATTACCGACGATGTATAACGCAGACTTTTCTTAGTGGATCATAGAAATACTAAAAGGCGAAATAAAGTTATCGAATGTATAAACTACTCATTGAGTAGCTCTAGCAATACAATTTTATCAAAGAAAGATGCAATTCTTCCCACGAACAATGTCGAAGCAATCAAAACAATCATTAAAACGACATTTGCAAAACTGGTCTTAAAACTGTTAACAAAGCATGCTGGTAATGCTTCCTTTTCCTCCTCATCTTTCTTGCCCTTTTTCTTCCGAAAACTTCACCAAATATAACTGTTAAACATTCATTGTTTCTTTTTTAGTCTAACAAGGAAAATCAATTAAATCGATCGTACAGTAAATTATATCCGCTGGAAAATAAAAAAAAGGGCAAGACCACACCGAACATTTAAAACCGGTTAAAAAATATGGTCATAACAATCATAGTATGATCGACAATAATAAACAAGAGGCATGGATAAGGAAAGATACCAATATATCCTTTAATTGGTATTATTTTAACATCAAGCGATTGCATTGAAGATTTAAAACCCAAATAAAAAAGGAACTAAAACCTCGTCAAAAATTTCTGACGCTCCTCATTCATAGCACACCTCAACATCTCCAGTAAGTCCATTCTTCTCCTCACTCTATTTCCTTCTCTGTTCTCGTTTCGTCTAGAAAACTCTTTTGCCTTTTTCATTCCTTTACTTTTTTTCCTTTTGCGAAGTACCCACTGCTTTGTTGGTCAGTGAGCCTTGATTAAGGGTGTATAATCGTTGGGGAACCAAGACCCCAGGCCCAAAGTAAGCCATAAAAAGCAATGTTGCTTTTGTGATTACAGAATGATAAGAGCGATTAAAATGAGAGGATAAAACATTTTCATCATTATCATCAGCAACAGAAACAGCGCAGCAAAAACAATTGTAATGGGTGGTGGTAGTAGAAGCAGCAGCAACATGCCAGTAAAAAATCCATACTGGTGTCTCCTTTTCATGAGGAAAAGAGTAAACAAGAACATAATATATATACTTCTGTTCAGCATTTTTTGGTATCAAATTTAAAACTTCCTCATTGACTTAAACTTCTAGCCTGGAAGGAAATAGGGTGGGGTGTAATAAAGTAATAAAACACAAAACAGTGCAACATGATATACTTACAGGAAAGAATGAGAAAAAACACAATGAATTATAGCATAACTTTGATAAGCAACAATAATTCGAAAAAAAAATGAACAGGGGCACCCTACAGAAATGACATTGAGACATATGTATGGATCAGATATAATAAAATATAAGAAGTACACATAAGAGGAAGAAAGTGGGTTTTCTAGAAAAACTTTGAGCAAGGGGCCTAGGGGCAGTTCAGATTAACCATACACAGTCCTCGTTCCTGATTATCGGTACCATCAAAATGAAACAAAGGTTTTTATCAGTGATAATGACTTTCTTAAGATCTGTTTGAACTTTCGTCATAAAATAAAAGTAAAAATTATCTTTGCATTTTCTGACACTTCTTATTATATTTGCGGATTCAAAGAGCGATGAGTTCCTCACGGCTAATAAGTTTACTAGAGAAAAGAAGACAAATGATTCAGGCGAACAATTAGCTCTCCATAGCATCACGCACTGAAAAACCATACCAATTAAACATTGAAAATAAGAATTTAACGATATGACTTAGAAAACGACTGTCCACCTTAATACCGTTACAGATAACCTAACGACGACACCAGTTCGATGGAACAGTTTAAATGCGGATAACCCTGAACTCATTTCGAGATGTGTCCGCTTTTGTCTGCCTTGTAATTTTACACTCACCTAGAGACATACTGCATCGGACTATCGGGCTACCAAATCATTCCTAATCCTGTTACCCTAACAGAAAATAAGCAGTGATTATGACAGAAGTCTCTCTGCATAAATCGATTAGCAGTAACAATATCAGAAAACAAAAACTGCTAACTTTGCTGTTGCATGAGATTATGCGGATGAACATTCGGCTGTTGGGTCTGAATACGCGCTGAAGGTGTTTGATAGGGGTCGACACCAGAGAGATTTATGCTAACTGAATTTGGTATCACACTTGGAGGAGGTTGATGCATCATCGGCGGCATATTGCTGCTTTTACTCCACATCTATAGTGAACCGGACGTCTTATTATGTCAAATGATTAATGAACCATGATTATTATACATTACAGAATCTTGAAGTCGAGAAATCACTACTACGCCTTTGCCAAAGATCAAACAGTTTGTTCATCAACAGCCCAGTTAACACATACATTATAATGGTTTAATGATCTTCCCCAAAGGTTTTGTGCGCAAAATTGTCCAAACTTGGTGAGTTATCTCCAAAATATTACGTTGGGGCACTGTGCAAGACCCAATAATTTTCTGGGCTAATCCCGACTCATCCCAGTGTTACTTCCTGAGAACACCAAAAGCAGAAGCTTTTCAAATCCAACAGAACTCAGTTTTATTCCCATTCAATTCAATAGTAATCCAAAACTTGTAACATAACTACACACTCAACGGATGTTTATGAAATACAAATTAAAACCTGTGCTTTAGCTGAAGCGACTGCAATATAACTTATCAATTCGCGCAATGGAAGCGCCTTAAAACTTGGTAAATTGTTCCGCATCATGTATTCATTTGTGTATTCCTTCAAGTTTTCACTGGAAATAAGAAATGCTAGCAAGAGAATAATGTTTTACTGCTATAGCCGGGCAGTAAATGCAAGCTGTCAACTTCATGTTTTGCACCAAATGGATTTCATACATGAAAAGCTGTGCGAATTATTTGTATGAACTGGGAGAAGATCTAGCAGATTTAGAAATGGAACTAACAGAACTTTCAAAAGGAAACAACATCGGAGAGTTTTCCAACTTACGGAGAGACATGTGGAAAATGATTTCTTAGAGTTTCCAGCAAAGTATCGCGTCGAGGAGACGAACTACGACTGTTATCCACCACCAGTGCACTCTAAACAATGTTTACAATCGAGCCGTAAGGCGGAAAAAAAAGAAAATAAAACCAAAAAATAATGCCTGAAAGAAGACGGATAACCTGATGAGGTAAGAAAGGTAACAGTAAATCATACAGTGACATCAGAGGGATTCGAAGAAGGGGTGTGATAGCCTGTCCAATTAGGCCACTGCTGTGACTGATAACCACTTCCTTGATGTTGTAAATGATTGTAATGACTTGGTTGGCTCGACATTATACTGTTACTGTTATTTCCAGCTAAAAATTTTAAAAATATGAACTGAACAAATATAAACTTAGTTTCCAAATAAATAAAAGTATCCTTAATTCAAAAACTTACAGGATAACGTATTAAGCCATTCGTTCCCGCCACCATTACTCCAGCCATTCGACTGCGATGTGAAATGGCTACTCGTATTAGGAATACCAGGTGGTGGATGAGAAAGCTATAAACACTAGTTATAAAGTTAATAACAAACGGACGACGATGTCTGAAAAAGCTAGGAAATTAACTAAACCTGAGTAGAACTTCCACCGGTGCTGATACCATAATCGGTACCGATGGGTCCGAATGAACGACTAGGATTGAGCAGTTCGTTGATAGAATTCATGGCAAGCGGTGCATCCCAACTGGAACCCCATGCAGTCTGTAACGATAATCCAGAAGATGACGACGTACTGGTGGTTGCTTGTGTGGCACTGGACGAAGAACTGACTGCCGTGGTATGGCTACTAGCATAATCCATCGCAGAACCCGTATGACTAGTAGGTCGAACGCCTGAAAAGTATTCAGAGATTTACTTAAAATGCAACAAATACTAATTCGAACGAAACTTGAAAAGTGCAGTAAAACTAAGATTTCCAAAGCGAATATTAAGCAGATTACGGTCTATAAAAACCGAAACTTATATTCCTTTTAATTTTCACTGCCTTAATTCCAAACAGGTTTTTATTCCCTTAACTTCTACATTAAGCCATTTTGAATCGGAAAACAAACCAATTGGTGCTATTGATGTTGTGGTGCCTGTAGGTGACTTCATGGGAGAAGATGACGGAGGAGCAGGAGCTTTTGACATTGTCTGCATCGGTACACCTGGTGCCACACTACCCGAGGTTAGCGAAGAATCTAAAAAACTTCAGTTCAAAATCTGCTATTGTCATCCAAAATAATCCGAATGACAAGCCATAAGAGATAATGGCTATAAACTTACTGATAACTACACTAGCAGTAGGAGCCCGATTGCCAATTACTCCTACAGCAGGTACAACAGGAGTCACAGCTTTTTCAGGACCAGCAGGCGATATCTGAGGTGCAAATTGTCCTAATTTGAATTTTGGTGCAGGTGGAGGTTTTGGTACACTAATTTTTGGTAACTGAGCGATTGTTTTTCCAGCTTTGATTTGCTCAATCTAAAAAATGGTACCAGCCTACATGGTGGAAATTACAAAACTTCAGTTGTGGAAACAACAAAATATCCCTTTTGGAATCAAATGTCTAATAACTTTCAAATGATTTCTTCCTCTTTTGAGCAAGCGAGTCTTCATAAAATCCTAAAAACTAGATTCTGTAAATCATGCATAACTTACAACTTTCGGCAAATTGGCCGAATCAGAAATTCGTAAAAAAGCATGCTACACATCAAACAATTTACCTGTAGAGCGAATTCGGCTTTTGCAGTGGTAATGAGACTGGCTACCTCTTCTCGTTTAGCCCTCCATTCGGCAGCCGCTCCTCTCAGTTCCTCCGCCGCAACAGGATTCCTTGCCCTAAATTTATTCACAATATATTCCAAACCAAAAAAAAGAAACTATGCTACCAGTGTTTCTCAAAGCTCCTATCATGGCGATTGGTAAGAAATAACTGTTATATGGTTATTAAATAGAATTAAACAAAATGACGTACTTCTTCACTTCAGTTTCCAGATCCTTCACTCTTTGCCCAGCATCTTTATGGGCCCTTTCAAGGACAGCAACGCCTGTCTCAAGCTTATGCTCCAGCAGTGAAACTTCGGCTTTCTTTGCACGTTCAGTCAAAAAAGCTACATTACTTTGAAACGTTTTACGTTCCTGAAAGAGTGGATGAACAGATTCAGAGCTATTTCAACATACCTTACAAAGTGAAAATAATTAATTTGAATGCACCGATATAGCCTGCCTTTTCATTTATTTGGTAAAACAAAAAATGACTTAGACCCTATATGTTACATAATGAACTCACCGAACATAGCACATTTTCGGAACGTTTCAGTGCAATCGACCGTTCATTAAGCTGACTTTTTAATTCGCTGATTTCGGTATCACGTCCTCTGATTTCTTCAGTCATGTTCTTCCTAGTATCCTGGCTGGATTGCAGCTCTCTCTGCAGCTTCCTCAATTCTTCCGCATTTTTCTGTCGAAGATCTTGCAGTTCTCGTGCCAGATATTCATTTTTCTCTTGTAATTCCCGTGATCTCTCAGAATCACGCCTAAATTCAAGAACACGACGTCTGTTTTGATTCTTATCAGTTAGTAAAGGATTTATTAGAAGCAGAAGGAAATATTTTGTACAGACTAAATCTCTGGGCTGAATTTCTTTTTAAGAAGCTGGCAAGAGAATGACCTGGTATCCTTTTCAAATAAAGTAACAAAAAAACTGAAATGTGCATTACATCATGGCTGAGATGGACCGCTGCCAGAGACTGCAACCTCAAAGTGACTAGACCTCGGAAATAAGTCATACAAACTAGGTCTCAGGCGATTGGATCAATTCCCGATCTCACTGGTACATTTCACCAATTAGGATCGCCGGTACCGTTTTGACCTATGACAAGCCAGTACCAATTAGCCTAAGTTCATATCACCGAAAATTACACTTACTCATGTTGTTTAACACTTTTTTCAAGCTTCTTTAATTCGTTCTTCTTCTGATTTAGTTGTTGCATTGTCTTCTCATGTTTTTCTTTCTCGGACTGCAACTGTGCCTGCATCTGTTTCATTGTATTCGCATGTTTCTGCTCTTGTCTGTAAAAAGTAATACAGTAAAGGAAAATGCCAGCTCAAACAACTCACAAGCTTCCTTTTACCCCTACCAACTTTCATAGCAAAAACAATAAAAATTTTATTATATTTAGGAATATGCCTTGAAGATATCATCTCAAACTTACTTTTTATTTTTCTCTTTCTCGGCAGTAAGTTGTCGCGACAAGGTCTCTTTATCACTTTCAAGTAACGCAATACGCTGGGCAATTTTCTCCGTGTGCTCGTTCAATCTTCAAGTGCGTGTATACTGATTAAAATTAGCATCTACATTAATCATACAAAGCACTTACAGATTTCACTAAAAACTTAATTCTATAGCACGTAAATAAAAATAACATACTTTTCTGCTTGGCCAACTTCCATCAATGGATTTTTACTCACGGCCTGGTCAGCAAAAACACCAATGCGATGCACTTCGCGATTCAACATATAGTCATGCTGGTCATCTGGACAGTCAGACATCAAGGAACTGAAGTCATCTGCATCATCAACCAAAGGCGCTGTTAAATGATGTTCATCCAGAGAAGAGCAATCAAGATCTGAAATGTGTCCAGATCGCATTATTTGGTCAGCTGTTGGAGAGTACCGCATCACAATCATAACGGATTTCAGACCGCGATAATGGATTTCTAAAAGTTTTCGTCTTTATTATGATTTCATCTACGCTACCAGCTAAGCTTTCACGTTCTCTCTTACCTCTACGTCCATCTTTGATTGCTTCGATAACTTTCTCGTCGCCAGCTAGAATTGCCAGTTTTTGCAGACAACCTTTGAGGAAGGGACTTTTCGAACGCATTTCCAATGTATTAATGAATTCAGCGGCTTTGTCAACCACACGTTTAGCATTCACACAGTTAACACCAATCACTGACAGCGCTGCCATAACTTGCTGAACCTTAAACGAAAGTGAAACTGATGAAGAAATAAAATTACCAACAAAATTTTTTAATAACTTGATACCAATCAATCTGATTCCTCTTCTTTCTACACAATTCTCTTTATAAATCAAATTGATCTTTCATGTTTCTAGACTTTACCTTCAATCGAATTCTGCGTCAGCATAAGTCTTTATACTAAAAACACAGACGAAAAAAAAGAAAAACGACAAACATATTTTTTAATTTTCCTTGAAACAAAAAGTGACCTGTGCATCTGTAAAATGAGGAATATTGCCGGCACCAAAATCCAAACTATTTTCATCACCAGCTGCAGGAGGATTCTGCAAAAAAGGAATTTGTAATTTCATGATATGCAAAGAAAAAAAAAAGATAAAGATGACACGACAAACCTCTCCGTTCTTCATGTATTTCCAGCAGTATTTGATATTGAATTTAAGCCATTCTTCGATATACTGTCTTGACCAAATATTCGGCTGTGCCGAATCATCTATGTATGGTTGTACCTAGATCAACTTTCTATAAAATACCAGCTCGAAACGAACTGCTTCCAAATGACGGTAGCATTACATTTCATAGTTACTCAGAAGTCGTTGACTATTATAATTAATTAAAACCTGCGGATTTGCCAAGTCGTCCCCCATAATTTGTTGCGAATGATAGATTGGAAAGACCGGGAACGTCTGCAATAATTAATCGTTCGTGAGTCTAAATGCACTCATTCGTAATAATTTAATTTCTAACTTGATAAAACATACTTTTGGATCTGCATTAGTGAATTGTGATGTGAAGCGCGCTATGCTTTCTTTCTGCATTTCCACGGCTGCTTCCGTCCTATTATCCGTTTGGGTCTTCGATTGCTGCAACTAATAGAATCATATTAAAGAACAAGTACATCTCAATCTGAATGACTAGCCTGTTAGTTAATTTATAACAGCAAAAAGAAAGTATACGTCTGCTATTAGTAATCACAATCTCAGAAAAAAAAACCTCGTCCTGTTTTTTCTAGAATCCACATCTTTGAATTCGTTCGGTTTCTTTCGACGCCATTCTAAAATATTATTTCACACTGTTATAGAAAGAAGAAATTTCCATAATACATCATTTTAGTATATTTGGTCTAACTGGAAGCATTATATGGTTATACTTCTGCCAATTAATGATTTAAAATTCTAAGTACCTCAGAGTAAATTCCCGGATTACTATGCAATGTACGATATGGTTTTGTACAACCGCTGAAATAACCACCAAATCTGAGAATAAAAATTCACCTGACACCAGCAAAAAAACAAAAATGAAATACCTACCGCCGTTGGGAATAGTTTTCTTTGCTGTCTGTTTCTTTGGCTGTGCATATGGCCGATTTGGATTTGGATTTGTTATACCCGTTTGTGCATTCACTATGGCTGCATCTGCTTTGGGCATTAGCACGGAAACTTAAGACATCTCATTAAAACGTAGCTTGGAATTTCAGCTGAATTAAGAATAGAAAGAAATGAAAAGAAAATGAACCCCAATAATCCAGAATCGGGAAAAAAATCTACAGTGAACTTCCTGTTTCTACCTCCCGTAACCTATTGTCATCATGCAAGGAGATCAAACTCTCTCCGAAAAGAAAAAACACACACGCATACTTCAAATTAAATTATCTAGTCGTAAATATGAAACTAACTTTGAGTGTTAGGTCAACCGGTCATTTTAATTAGAAAAGTGAATTGAAAAGCTAAACATCCTTCTTAAGCATAATACCGCAACGAAACATAATGGAGTGTCCGGCATATGTCACTATCTCGACAACATTAAGAGCAGAGAATGAAAGGGTAATTGAATCTTTTCTGTTACTAACCGAATCGAACTTGGATGAAAAAACACCCTCAAAAATAGTGAAAAATTACAATCTGTCTGACATGAAGCCTCTTCCGTGTTAAGAGAAGCAGGCTCAAGAATAGCTTGAATACAGCTATCACAATCATCGCGTACTACTGCACCATCATTCTGAAGTGAACGCTTCATCTTTTTAGAGTAAGGAACTCCAACCGCTGTGCGACCATTATTTCCTTCAGCCTAAACAATATTTAAATGCTAGGATCAAGCCAATATCTATGTAAAAGTGGGCATTATTCCAAAACTTTAGGGTAGCAACTACAAGAGATAATTCTGGACATTTTTAATCAAACAAGTCTTCGTCCAGCACAACTAATGAAAAAACTTCAATTACTCTTTGGAGTTTAAAAGAAATCACTTCGCTATCAGAGGAAGCTCCGCTTGATGAACTCGTTTCTTCATCACTAGAGCATTCAAGAACGTGTTGCTCTTTCTGTTCTTGGCATAACTCCCATGGCTGACCATGTCCGCTTACATCATATGCACAACGGAGAACCGGCCCAACTGGCTCTTGTGCCTCAGAATTCTAAAATTAAATTATGTAAATTGCAACAATTAGTACACACATGACTTCCCATCACTTCAGAACTCTAGCCAGTGATTAACCAACCTCACAGAATGCCGAAGCTGAATTGTGGAAAACTTAAATGCACCTCCATGAAATTAAAAGTATCGCTGGTGAAAATGTACGTGGGAAGGACTACGCCGATACATCACGAAAAAAGCAAAAAAAGATTATAAGTCCATCAAACAATTAAAAAGGAATAACTATGGCATGAATCGTAAAAACGATTGCCTTGATCTTTTCTCGCAGGTGGTAAACAAACAACAATCCAATTCCTTTCCTCTTGCCCATCTATGTTTTCTCTGGTAAAGTCAATGAATTAACGTACCCGTGAATCTACTTGCAATATATCCCCATCTTCGGCCATTTTGGCTCCTAAAGTAAATACATCATTTTCCAAGTAATTAGCATTGACCATCAGTTTTTTCTTTTCGTCATCCGGCTTTTCATCCAATCTGCAATATCCAGAACCCTTCAGAGTTATATCCTGTACTGAATTATTTACCACTGGTTGAGTTTCAGGAATAATATTAGGTGTGATCATGATTCAGGCTTGCATGTATACATAATACCAAATTTACCTTTCGCCAGCGGTCTTCTTGTCATCAGTCTTTCCTTCCTTCCGTTCGCTGTTGAAAACGGCCACATCAACCTGCTTTGTTTTTTCCTGTTTCTGCAATTATAACGATGTACTAGTTTCACACTAAATGAAAATCACCAAATTGTCAAGAAATTACATATCATCTTGATAATCTCATGATGCTACTGTGTAAGTGAAAATTATTTCAACAGTTACTTGAAATTTTTTTATAATCGAAAGACTGTTTTAAATAAAATACTTTCCCACAAATATTCACTGTCTAACAATGAAGAAATTGTTACCGATCCATCCAGCCCTTCCTCCTGTTTTCCATCATCAGAGAGCCATTTCATTTCACGAGTCGCATTCAGCAGTACTTCGGTTGGAGCTTCTAGAAGAAAACAGTATCAGTGCATAAACTTGAACTTTCTTCCTGGAGAAAAGACAGAATCTACTCCGACAGACATGCGAATACTCGAGTCCTGTTGATCACCAAGACTGCCATACGATCTCGCAAGCTTAATTTACGAAGGAAAAGAAACCTTGCACAACGCAAGCGTTTTTGTCGTTTTGCAGCAATGGACGAGTTTCCGTAACATTTGATTCTACAACTTGCCTTGTTTCCGATGCTTTATTTAGAGGAGAAGTTGCTGTTCTGAAAACATGGCTTGCTTTTTTTTTTTTTTCTTCGTTCTAATTTCTGATTTAGTTCGCAGCTAGGATTTTCAAAAAGATAAAAAATAAAACAAAAAGTAAAAAAAACGAATGGATAAACAACAACTCGAGAATATCTTTTAGTGGTTGACAAACAATGAGACTATAAAAAAAGTACGAAAACCTGTTCTGAACATTCACGTTTCTCTCAGCATTTGTTTCCCGCGATTTACTATTGGAATTCGATTTTGATTTGTTTGTATTGGATTGTTTGTTGATTGTGGCAGCACCTGATATAGCCTGTTTTAAAGCACTCTGATTGAGCGAATTTTCTTCATCACTTTTGCCAAGCGGTGGTCCTAAAAAGAGAGCTGCCATTGAGATAAAAAGGAATCATTGCGTATGCATTGGAATTGAGTATTAAACTATAAAAACAACATGGAGACCTTTTTCAATCCTTTCAATACTTTGTTTCAGTTTCATCTCAATCAGCTTCGCTTTCTGAGCCTCGAGATCGGCCTTGCAATCCTGATCACGATCTTTACAAAATTTCAGAGCGCTCATATTAACTTCGATGGCCTTGTCGATGAGTCCTCTACTGCTTTGTATATCAGCTAACCTCATATAATCTTGAATTTTCTTCTCGAACTGTTCATGAGTTCTGGAAAATGCGTTTAGGAATAAAAGAAAACTGGAAGTATAAACTCTTTCACTCCTTCTTATCTTATGAAGAAAATAAAATTGTATGTAAATAAAAACACAAAAATTTCTTACAGGATATTCTTCGGAGGTTCAGCTTTAACAGATACTTCCAAAATAACTTTGTCATCTTTGATATAACCTTGGCTTTCATCTAATATATCCTTAAAATATTAAATATATGAGAAACTAAGACTCATCTGTCAAAGAAATCTTCCATCAGTAACTAGTAAAATTAATCAAGCATTTTCATTTTAGCTGTTTGAAGCATTATTTCTTTTGAAGTTTTATTCAGGAAACAACATAAATTTAAACTTACAGCCCATGTCATGAAGCATGAGTATCCCCAATCATTTTCCTTAGCTGTATAAACATGGTTAGTTTTCCTTGTAAAATGCGGTACGCCTTGCTTCTGCGAAATCAGCCGCAGTTCTGCCGCAGCTTGGCACGACCATGAACTGGAAAAAAAAGGACATAACAGCAGATAAGATAGGTATGACAGAAAACACTTTTCAGCCCAATTTTGCAACGATCCTGCAAATGTGTCTCCTTTCGATAAAAAAAAACGTGCACCAACGTACAAGCGACGAGACTCTCCACTCTTTGTTCTACAGATATAGAATAAATGTAATGATAACTCACTCAGAATAAGCATCCGGACAACACTGCAGGAAAAATCCCAAACACTTCTGCGTGCCTTTCTTTTGTACAACATGCTGTCGAGGCATTACCATTATCCGCCTAAAAATAAAGTGGAATGAATTTCAAATATATCAAAAAATATCAGTATTCAAGACCATTGTAATAACATGACAACTAATAACTCCTATTAATCCCGTTTCTAACCTTTTATACCCGCAATATTAACAAACTGTTACGGTTCTTAAACCCAGTGTACTAACCAAGGAACAGCTTGTATTTTTTTGCTTGGCCCTCTTACAGTATCGGCCATATTGGTGAAGTTCTGAATCATCAACCGTAATGTCCCATCAGAGGAAGTGCTTGACGTAGGAGAAGTAGCATCAGTACTCGATGATGCCACCGTACCTGAAATAGGCGCTGTAATAAGTACTACACGAAACTAAAGTACTCCAAGAAATGTAACCAACTAACAGACTGAAAGCAAGAGCAAAGTTCAAGACCGCCCGGAATTCAAATGAAGTTGGGAACTTAATCTGACAAGAAACGCAAAGAAGAGAATATCATTTCGGTAGATTTTGCTTTTATTATATGGTAAATAAAACTAAAAAAAAAAAAAAAACCAATACAATTATCCATCCGATAGCCCAATCGAAAATTGGTGCTAGATGACTTGCAATGTGAGGCTCCTTTTGAAGGCGGTCAAGCTTACAAATGCATTAAATAGATGAAGCAGTGCATTAATATCCGAAAAGTCTCATATTAGGGTGGAAAAGTTGGAACTCAAATCAAACCTTTATTGGCAATAGGTTGAGAAATAGTAGTCCGAGAACACTGTGTGATTTTCGGGAATGTTTCTTCATCGGGATCGGTTTGACATGCAACATTAATCTTGGCCTTTCTGAAATGTGAATATGGTTGAACAAAAACTTGGAATACTGCAGAACTCGCCACTCCATATTCCTATTATTTACCTACTTTCGTGCTTTTCCTTCGACATGTTTGCATGTTTATAACCGTTATTCACCAGCAGTTCATACCGCCATATTACATATATATTTCAAGTTTTAGTCTACATAGCATGTTCATAATTACATAGCATACTTTCATTTTCCACATATACTTCATTTTCACTTCTCATATTTTTGCTTTTTTATAAACAATAAACGGACTGCAGCTAGCATTAGACAAAATGCATATTGACGAGACAAAATGCATACTGATGAGACGATATGTAATAAAGAAAACAAGAAGCAAAATAAGGGACGAACCTCACACCACTCTGATGTACCGAGCATAAATTTCCCCTTCTTTCTCCAGCTACAGCTGACGATTTAACAATTTCATGGCAATCATTTACCTTCTTAGAAGGTGTCCTTGAAGTTACAGTTGTACCCACATCCATTTCACCTGAAATACGCTGAACATTCACATCTTGGAAGTGTACACTGAAAGTTTGGAAAATGAGCAAGTTAAATATCACAGTAAGAACAGCACAGCAATCTATCACATATCCGCAATGGTACTCACGACGCGGGTGGTCTCCGCGAACTTCGACAAATGCAACCCTCGCGCCTCCCACCCATCCGTCTTTACAATTACATATATCTTCTTTCGCATGGCCTGACCCATGGATACATATCTTTAGATGTTGGGGTGGCGCAACATCGGGGACATACAACTTCAACAGATATTCATCGGACTAACTGACCAAGTGTTTACATCTTACTGTCCTGGTGGACTCTGCCCTCGACTAATAACGATATGATTCAGCTTATCTCTATCGCCTAATATGCTGACGAGCACTGTTTACAAAACTGCCATCCTTTCGGTGAAAAGGTGTATGGAAGAGGAATAAGTTACTCACTTATTCATGCCGTGATGGTACCGTCCTTCAATATAATCATCACCGGCAGTACATTTTCTAGAAAAATTTTCCAATGCCCTGGAACGTATATCACAGCGTACTGAAACGTGGAAACGACACTTAGTACCTTTAACTACCACAATATTCATCCGACAGTAACCGACAACGCCAATGAAATGGAAGAACTGTACGCAAAAACGAAAAATTACATCCTTCTAAACTTTTAGTTCATGTATAATGAGATGACAGTGAAACGCTGAAAAAGGAAATGTGACGTACACGGAAACTACGAAGTGAAACTCCACCGATACAGTGATTTGCTTTCGATGAAGCAAGTTAATAAAAAGTAATCCACAAACTTAAGATTATTGTGGTGAAGAATTCAGAAACGCAAAACCTTATGGAGTTAGGGAATATCATCGACACAATCGTATCACTCCGGTACTTGTAGATGATACTGTTTCGCGTGGAGCTTAGAAGCATATAATCTGCGATAAAGTCAACTGCCATAAATTTCAAAACGTTCTGGGAGAACGACAAATACCAATAGAAAAGTGAGTGAAAATGGTACATAGTTCGGAAAAAAGAACGAAAAATAGTATGAAACAAGTAACGGACGAGAAATCGATGACTTCTTTTTGTAAATGATGAACATTTATCTACAACGGCCAAAAGTATGGCAATCATCAGCTAATCGTAAAATATCTATTCTAACTTAGTGAAATCGAGAGAAGGGGTTTGGGGATATGATTCATATGCTGACAGCTTTGAATAATTCACTAACGGAGATACAACCTACCAGGCTCCTGAAACTCCAAAAAATGGTAAACAAATAATTCCAAAGTAAACTAGGAACTGCAATATCCGTGGCAGAAAAAGAAACTTACACTTAGTCCTATACGTTGAGGCGTCCACCGGTGCATTTGCATCAGTTTTTCTAGTAGCTGTGGTAGTAGTAGTGGTAGTGGTAGGAGTAGTGGTTGCGGTAATAGTTGTAGTAATAGCAGCAGAAGTGGTGGTAGTAGTAGTAGTAGTAGTAGTAGTAGTAGTGGTAGAATTGTCACCCAACTCTCTATCCACTGAAGACCTTTGCGGCTGAACGGATCCACCGCTGCTACCTCCACCACCACCAGCTGTTCGATAATCCGGTACGCTACCTGTGGTATCACTTGATACATCTACGGTATTCGAATACGACGATTCACCGTTACTATCACTATCAGCAATCGTTCCGGTTGGTCGTCGTGGATCGTTTGGTACCGCAGTTGCATCGTTCGACAAGACATCAGCAGACGAGTTTACACTTGCGTGATCACCATCACACGTGCTACTTGCGCTACTCGACTCGTTGTTTTCGTTCATGCTCGGCGGAGAACTGCTACCAGCCGTCACCTCGAGCGTCACTTGATTCGCCATTAGAGTTTTTTTTATTTTTTCAAACTTTTACGTCCTGTATTTACAACTTATACAGCACAACAATATATACTTCCAGTAGCGTCGCAGCTGTATGATTTACCGAACGTTATATTCCTATTAATGTACAAAATGCAACAAAATATGTGGCTTTGATTTTATATTCCTACATAAATATAAAAGTAGCAGCTAATTTGGATCCCAACTTTTTAATACTTCTGCCTGAATGCCTTTAACACCCTTTCATAAAATAACAAAATACAAAGTAACAGAGAGCTGAAAAACAAATAAACAGGAATGAAAAAGAAAGTAATACACAAATCATCTCAGTTCGCTTTTTTATTCGTCCCTTTGGAACTGATTTAGAAACTATATGTTGCCCAGAAACTTAATGATGTATTCAAGAAACCACTATAATAACAAATTTACAAATATTTCTTTCATCTCTCTCCCTTTATAATCTGAAAAATCCTCCTCGTTTCGCAATTCATGTGATCAAATGAGATCAACTCTCCCGCATTTCAGAAGCATTTGAGATATCACTTCATTCGCCGACAAAGCACCATTTCCATTTCTACCCTTCCACTTGACCTTATCAGATTGAAATATATGCCAAAAGCTAGAACTCAACTAATATGCTTCATGCATGATACCATCCTAACCACTTCCTTACTACCTCATCCCTCTTCCCACAACCCAACTTCAATATGCATTAATCTACCAATGGTGAACTTCTCATCAACTGATGCTCGTTGTTGTTCGGCCACAAACAAACATACAAACCAAAATGACACGGAGAGATACGCCGCTGCAGCGTTAGACAACGATCATTCCAACTTTCCCATATTCTGCTATCTCTCACTTTACTACGGTAGTCCGCTAAACTGAACGTCACGCTTTTTTTTTTGCTTATAAAGTTTAGAAAAAAGGAAACTCATACAACTTTTCCACGGGAAGAAGAGGAACTCCAACTTTACTATAAAAAACTTAATATCTTAAATGAAAGGGAAAAGGCGAAATTTCAAAAATCTAAAAATACAGATGACGTGTAAATTGAACCCCCAACCGCTACAACAATGCCATCTCACAAAGATCCATCAACCAGCTCATCCGGAATTTCAACCTGCAACTGATGTATGAAAAACGAAATGACTGGAATAAGCGGAGATAGACGGAACCTGAAAACGGAAACCCTAAATTGCATATTAAATTCCATCGCCGCTATTATTGTATAAATCGATAAATCGATCAAACACACAGCGGGAACAACATCAATCCAAGACAACATCATCTATTTTGCAGCACCATTCTCTGCGTATTTTCTCCTATTTCCTCTGATACATTTTGTTAGATCACGATGATTTCATCATCCTATGAAATTTTCTCCTTCCTAGATTTTCGAGTTGCCTAAGTGATCCCGATATAATCATGATGTTTTACATTGAATTTTCGCAACATAGCAAAATTAAATTTAATGAATCATGATTATTGTGCATTTTCATTGACACGACTGTTACCTTAATATGATTCCATTATTTGAAAGTCCCTCTTATTCTCAAATTCTTGGATTGCCTGAGAGACCCCAGTATATCCATGATGTGTTACACTGAATTTACGCGATATTGCAAGACTAAATTTAATAAATTACGATTATTTTCCATTTTTGTTGATTTAGTTGTTACAACACTATGATTCCACCATCCTATGGGGAGATTCCGGTATGTGGTATGATCGTGATGTTTTAAATTGATGGAGAAAAAATGAATTGTGTTTGTAATTGGTTGTAGAAAGAGATTAAAGAATGCATGTAGGAAGGGATCACCTTTATTATCGAAGTGGAATATTGGGTTATTCGTAGTTTGTAATTTGTTTTTTGGATTATAAATTATCCGAAATTTATTTCCGGAATGAGTAAAAGTGCAGCGTTCAGTTCAGAGTAATGTATGCTCGTAATATCGCAGCGATTATTCTGTTGTGGTAAGGTGCATCAAGTTTCGACTAAATTTTGTCAATGAGTAAATGCGTCTCGATCACACCATATGTATCAACTAATGCTTGCTACTGAGATTGCTTATAGTAGTAAAGTTTTTTATGACCTCAGAGCTGACCGCCGTCGCTATATTGAAATCTTGTCTGCTGGACAAGTGTTCCGCATGTAATTTGTTGATAACCCCAGAGCTGTTAATAGTCAGCCACGTGGCATTTCCAGCTATGTGACAAGTGTTCCAGTTCTCTGACGAATTTTTCAGTAGTCTGTCGGATAAGTATGACACTATCCTGTCCATTTATTTCTTCACTAAAAATGTTTTTTTGCCGGGTTACCTCCAAGGTATAAGGAATAATAATGAATGTTCTTTCCTCTTATTCAGTTCGAAAATCCAATAATGCTTCAAATGCTGTTTCATGAACGATTAGAAGCACCTATTTTACCATCAATTTGAATATTAGCGAACCACCTATCTCGAGTTCGAGAATCCCAGTCCCACATCCAAAACTTACCGCCTAATTTAACGACTCGACTATCCACAAACTATCGTAAACCTAACTGAGATGAACTACCCGCATACAATGCTAGTTGGCATTATTTTAGACTGTACTGTTCATCCCACTCCTTTTGCAATATTAAAAAATATTGAGTATCGACTAGTCTTGATTATGGACCCTGAGAAAGGAACAGAAAACGGAACATCCCACGCCCTACTTTCTCAGTCATACAAATACGTTCGTCTCTTAATTTTCAGAGGATGTGTCACTGTCTACCTGCAAAATCACCATCTTGTTTCTGAACTAAACTTGAAAATAATGGTGGTCTTTATGGTAGTTTGCTGTGATCCAACTCTGAATTAAAAATCTTTATGAATAGTGGTTACATAAAACATCATATTACCTTCTTGATGAGATCATTTTGTAACCCCTTCGATTTCTGATTAATCAAATAACGTTACCTCCCTAACAGAACTGAGGCCATTTTCAAAAAATCATTACAACACCTGAATTTCGAAAAACCATCCAATGACGCATACCGAACTAAATCATTTACCACCACTGATTTGTATGGTAAGTAATAACACAAATGAAAGATACGGAAATCAAGTTATGGATAAAACACAAAACAGAAAAAAAAATCACCGAAGGAGCACACCTGAGATAAACTGACAGAGCAATTAACAATTCAAAACCATTTAGCTCCAAATAAAACTAACAAGTTGCCATGAATACAAAGGGAAAATTCCAAAAAATGTCATTTCACGAATTCGGACTTATTTACATATCAAGCCAACGAATGCTCGAAAATGCTTGGGCAAACTGATATGTTACAAATATACATAAAGCAAATAAAAGCAACTTTGGAGTCGTTGCTCTCGAACATTTCCAGTATTTTCATCTCATGGAACTAATCATCTCCTTTCGTTAAGCAACTTTTCAATTAATTTAAATGACAGGACTAGGAGTGGGTCTTTTTTCACCCCTAATTAAAACTTTTCAAATCGGTTTTCATTCGAGTAAAGAGTTTTATTCATCCTCAACTCTTTACCACCTATCTAGAGGCAATTTCCAACAATGAAAAAGTTGCTTCATAAAGGAAAACATAACCCATACGTAGACCTTTCATCTAAATTACCGAGCTGCAAATATGGAAATGCATCACGGCATAACATCTGCTTTTCTCCCTGGTTTATAAACAGATCACAACAAATTCTGGATTACATTAAATTAGAAACACGAAACTGTCAAGGAACAATTGATTCCCGCTACAATAACAATCTAGTAGTGTTTCACAGTATTGTACAAAGTCGAGACTATTAGATGCTTAGATCCTACCCGTTGGATCGATTGGTTCCTATTTCTTACAGTTATTCACGCTATGCTGGTAGGACTCCATCGAAAGATTTGTAAAACTGCTCGAAGTAAACTTTGACGAGAGGAGATAAGAAGAGGAAGGCGAAGAACTATGAGGGATGGGAGAAGCATATGGAAGAAGGAGGTAGGAGAAAGTTGTATAAATCTGTGCTATATTTAGTAACTATCATTATGATCAACACAACAACAAGATGAAATAACTCTAGGAATAATGGATCAGTCCAGAAGATGCATGCAAAGTTAGCTTCTATTATATGAGTGTTAGTGAAATTTTTATCTATTTAAAGCTTCCTAGAATTCTGCAGTTTTCATCCTTTGCTCGAGAATTCACAATAAATTTCCTCTGATTGAAAAATCGAACACACCTTTTTAAACTCGAAAAAAGATGCGACATCAACAGGTATTCATCTCAATCCTTCTCCACAGATCTGCATACTCATTGACAACCTGAAAACAACAAAAAAAAACTACACTGCCTATCATAGACCTATCACCAAGTTTACAGATCAAAACGGATTACCAACAACTAAGCTGTGACAACAACATCCAGAAACCAAAAGTTTAATGACTTACCGAACGCAGCCATACCACATCGTTCATGCAAGTCTCCACTACGAACTCCGATGAAACATCCGTATTTCCTGTACTAACTTTCTCCAGCTGCAGAGGATAGTGATGAATATATTTGCATGATATATGAGTTATACATAATTATTAATAAGTAGTGCTATAATTTTATATTCGGACCTTATCCTCGCACTTCTTGAGGAGTATATACCGCATATGATGCAATTTGTGATAAATTCTCGATAGCTTTCCACAAGACGAACAAACCAAATATTCCTGAAAGAAAGATTTCAAGATATTAATGAAACTAAATATGGTTATGGGGAGTAAAGCAAACTTTCAAGGCTGGTTATATTCTAGAGAATGATAAAAGAAATTTCAACTAAATTCTTACCACCGCATGCAATGGAGACCCAGATCCTGTATAACACACTTCTTCAGCCTCCAGAGTATCATAATCATAACCTTCGTTACAAAACAATTGCACAACCTTTTCAACACCAGAAATGCCACATGCCTAAAACAATTATTTAAAATTGATCAAATATTTTTGTTCTAAAGTGCACTGCAGCATTATTCGAACTCATTGATGACCATACTAGTTTTAAACTCACAATATTTCGAAGCTGTTCACATGTTAGCTTCTTTTTGAAAAAATAATAACTGATTCTAAGGAAATGAAATAGTTTTACACTCAGGATAGTTCTCATTCAAATGACCTCATTAATGCACGGCATTCAAGATTCGCGAATGAGAAAAGTTAGAGCACATCGCGTTGATTTTCATGATGCTACGCGAACTGGAAAATCCGAAGTAAGATTACCTGACAACTTAAGCCACTGCCCTCCGAATCGCATACCACACATGACGAATAGAAATGGAGAAGATCCAAGTAACGCTGAATCCATTTCACTCGCAACTGTACTTTCTCTTTTCGTTCTTGGTTTAATTTATCAATACCATTTAAAGCACACAAATAATTCCAGTCTGTAATTCGACACAGTAAAAATGAAATGATATACTGTATATTAACTGACAACATGTTCACAAGAACATTTCAGGAAAATCCTCAAAATTAAGAGGAAAAGACGAATTATGCAAAATGCACGACTAAACTTGCGTAAAACTAATCAAGCTTCGATACAGTTTTGATCTAAATCTTGCAGAAAACTATTTAAGGACAAGAAGCCAAACAACTCTGATACGCTATCTACTATATATTTATCATGCATCTTTAAGTCGATCATATTGAACAGCACATGTAAACTTCCTTACCACTTTTCTGTTTTACTGTCTGGAGGAATGTCATATCAAGTGCATGATTAAGCATCGCTTTTACATAAAGAACCATTTGCTTTCGAATTGGGTCGTCTGTGAAAAGATCCTTCTGTTCGGATGCAGTTCTTGTGTTGGCTGAAATAATGTCTTCTATTTCACTAAAAAAAAAAATGCTGTGTTTTGCAAAAGATTGCTAAAATGAACAACTCATCTGCATGCAATTTATACTGAAGACAAAAGTAATGTCGCAAAAAGAGAAAACATAATGTAAAGCCAAAGACAACATAAATTTTTGCCCATAAAAGTAAAAATGATCGCTTCCAATTGCGCACGTGTGAAACTTTGATACCTGACTACCATGCAGATCAAAAGGCTCGGCGATAGACCCTTGAAGATAGTCAGCATACTATAGCGTGCGATGTGCTATGGTCACCAGAAAACACACAGAATGACCATCGTATGAAAATTAAACTGCTTGAAAAACATCCGAAAAATTACCAGACGGCTGCTCTTCATATTCGATGCTGATTGCTGGGAACATGTCTAGTAGCGGCATTTCTGGTTCGACTATGGACTCCGAACGACTGTGTTTGATGAAGCGTACCCGTACAACAATGTAGCTATCAGCAATTTGATCACACCAACCAGAATACTGGAACAAATTGTTTGGTTACACAGGAATTTTCGGAGTCAATCTCTACAATGAATTTTTCAAAACCAAAACAAAAATTTTGTGCGATCCTTATAGTAACAACAGTGATGCAAAAAAAGCATCGTAGCAGAAATAACTAGTAATCACTTTAGAGAATATTTTCAAAAATTGCAAACCGTAGAACTGTTTCTATAAGCTATTTTGCCATCAAGGTTGAAAGGCGGATATTTCTGCAGCAAGTTCTGATTATCAACTCTCCAAAGAGGACAATCTTCCTTCAAGATATCAGCTTTGCAAACTACGAAAGTCCCTTTCTGGAAAAAAATGATAGATTACAAGATTAGCAACAAACGTAGCAAAATTAGTAGGAAATTAGTACCAAATGCTGAATAAAATGTGGTATAAACTAAAACGAATCTATTTGCGTAAAACCAACTAACACATACATCACCTTCAAACATAATCTAATCAGCTGACAAGTAACATGAAGTACAAATTCAAATGATATAAAAAGAAAATGCTCACCGCTAAATGTCCATCTACCGGATGAAACTTAGATAAAACACTATGATCTGACGATTCCGGATGCATGTTGTGTCCATCATTACTTTCGAATGATAAAGAGGAGTTTCGGTCCCGGCAGTACTCTGCAATAATGAAACAATTACCAAAGACGTTCAGCAGTGTATTAACAAGATGACGACTGCTCAAGTAAAAAAAAAACCTGAATTATAACAAACCTGAATCTACACGATTTCCCTCTCTCTCATTCCAGTGCATTATAAGGCGCCGTTTCTTACTGAAAACGGTTGCTTCTTTGTTCGCACTCTCAGATGTCCATTGTTCACTCTGCTTGTTCGTAAGTTCTTCCTCGAAACTTGAAAAACAGCTACTAAATAAATTACAACAAGTGGAAAATGATCATTCCGAAAACTGAATCCCTATGCATGAATGAATATCACTTCGAAAGACAAACTATCTACTCATACAGCGTTCCTGACAGGAATGTTACACATGTTCGTTAAAATCGTTTCGATGATCTGATGTTAGTGTGCACGCATGCTTCAAGTGAATGCACTTCCTGGTTAACCCTTATAATTAACCAGATAAATATATCAATAACGATATTATACAGCTTACTCTGATGCATGTCGTTTCTTCTTTTTGTGGTGATGCTTATGTTTACGTTTTTTCTTCTTTTTCCCTTTCGACTCGGGACCTACCCATTCATAATCACTGTCTCTTTTCTTTCGCTTTTTTTTCTTTTTCTTTGGTTTCTCATATTCTAGCATATTCTCGTCAACCGATCTTCGGGGCAATCTGATTAACAACTTCGGAAGAGGTTGTTCTGACTGAGTTCTAGAAAAAAAAATACCACATATCATGCCGTAAGTTAAAAGTATGTAGTAGTACAACTGATCAAAGATATCTTCTAAAAACCTAACAATATTATCTTCTAAAAACGTTACAAGAGAGTGGAAAGAGGGGAAAGAATGGAATGAAGAGAAAGGAGGAAAGAAGGGAAGAGAATGAGGAAAATGTGGAGTATAAGTTGGCCAATAGGGAGAAACAAGGTCATGATGCTGAAAGTGACAATCAAGAAGTCCTAAATTCCAAATAATAATTTGAAACCGAGGAACATTATCGAGTGATTGCAGTTCAAGTTTAACTTCATTTCGCTTTAAAATACATTTAAGTAAGAAAACGGACCCATTTTCGGCAGCACAATCGGTTTTGGGCTCAACCCTAATCGTAATCACCGATGGCCCTGTTTGCTGCTCACTTTTGGCAGTTTCTTTATCGCCAAGAGATTTCGTCTTTAAGAAGCCGAATGATGAGCGATGTTGTTTACGGCGCAACAATAAATCGACTATTGTTTGCGGTTCCGTTACCTTTTGACCTGTAAAATCAGTAATGAAAAAGCTTGAAGACTTTTGTCCTAATTGAATAAGAAAAAAGTTTACTTGACGGATTTTCTGCGCGATGTTCATTGACGGCAGCAGGTGGTAACAAAGGAGTTGAAGGCACGGATGGCCTCTCTGATGCAGCCGAATGTCGCTTTTTAGGTACCACATGCCTCCACAGATCCTGAAATTCACCGATTGGAAATACTGGAAATCCATCTCTCCTCTCGAAACTATGTAGCAACTACAGAGAATTATAACAACAAACATAAGGAAAAACCGCAGTAAGGGTGAAATAAATTGAAACCTCAGAAAAACATCTATATCATTGTACCTGCTGATACTGCGGTTCATCACTTCCACTCTTTGTTTTAAGCTCTGGATGGGCACTGTTTATTCGTGCGAGCCTCTGTGCAACTTCTGCTTCTAGTCTTTGCTCTCGCAGTTGCGTCTCAGACGCGGTTGCACCAGATGGTAACGGCTTACTTTCCTCCTCATCATCCTTGAAATTGTAGGCGTCGTCGGGAGCTAGAATCACTGCTTGTAAAATAGAAGAATTCAGCATGTTTGTAGAATGAAAGAATTCTCCTACGTATATATTTTGAAAGTTCTCGGACTCATCAGTTTTTTGCTTTGGGTCAAAACTTCAGTGAAGTTCTCATATTAAATTTGTAAGCTTCCCGCTTCAAAAGAGCTTTGAAAATGAAGATGGAGGCAAAAAATGCAATGGCAATCAATTTGAAACTTAACGAAAATCCTGCTTTGCAGTCTTATAGTTGTTACTAAATATTGCGTTACGGATAATTAACTATAAACAATAAAATTAAGAATGCAAAAAAACGGGGGAAACGGTTTAAACGAATTTTTTAAAACTGTGATATTTTCTACTAATTCACAGATTACGTAAAATTCCAACGTATTAGTTCATTATTAAAATGAGTAATAATCTTAGATTTAACAATTTGACTATAAATCATAACTTAATATTTCGACGATCGATTTCTGTTTAATAGGGAAATAATTTTTCCTATTCATGTCACCAAATTTAAATAAACTTCCATTAAATCCTAGCTGTATAAAGTGGCGATCCCCAAACATTCTCTTACAATAATTCAATAAAAGTTTGATAAAACCCAAATCATAAAACGGTTTACCGTGTTCTTCAGCTTTGAATACGGACTGCAAGAATGTTTTTGCTTTCTGTTTATATACAGGAACTTTGTTCGACTTGTTTTCTTTTCCGTTGGTGGCATAAATAAAAACGTGTCTTCGCTGACGGGACGTCGGTACGTGTAGCTCTTGGGCGGAGAGCACCAGTACTGGTGGAAGAGTTAGATGAAGGAAAGAAGAAATTGCATAATCCTGATGAAACACCGGCTGAGGTGGATGCTGTGGGTGAATCTGGAGGCGTGAACTATAAATCAAAATTATCTATATAAATAACATACCAAGAAGATATGAAATATCGGAAACAAACCACATCTCAAAAAATCTTCATTCGACTTTTATTCCAATTGAAGTACCAGCAATTTGAGCTCATGAAAAATTCACATAATTCCAAAATTTGAAAGTAATGATTTACACTTAGTGATAACGAAAAATGCTTACTTGAACAGGACTGAGGCTGATTTTGTGATCATCAGAAGTATCTGCTTTCATCATCAGTACTGGATCAAGCGCCTGAAGCGGCTTTGGAACTTTAGACACAGGTGTCGATATAGCATCTTTCTTGGCAACAAGTGAAAGAAGTCTATCCAATTCCTTATCTGCATCGGCTAATTCCTTCTCTCTTTTTAGTTTGATCTTTTCACGAATTTTTGGTGTAACAAGTTGTGAGACACTGAAAATCTTGGAATCTGCGTTAAAACTTCGTTTCAGCAACTATCAATTCAAAAATGATTCACCTGAAGATTTTGTAGATGGCGGCTACATGAGAAGCCCATCCAACTCATTTTTGTATCATCCTCATTCTCACCTTACTCTCTTCTCTATATTTCTGCTACAGACAAAATACACTGTCCGGCACAAGTGTAACTGACAGCGTTGTATTTCTTCATATGCCTAAATAGTGTCAAACTTCTCTACCTTTCCAAATAAGGCAGTTTCCCGTCATATAATTGTAAGGTAGCTTATAGACCCTTGGATATTATATTGACGGAAATCTTCAACAGTTACTTTATAGGCAGTTTAGTTGCACCAGAAGATGGTTCGTTTAGGAAAAGTCGATGCATCACAGTCGGGTCCATTTCATCCAGAACGGAGTGCATAACATCTTTTTCAGCAACAGATGACCCGCTAAACAAGTCAATGTCAGCAAGATCTATACTGGACCATGGCAAATCTTCTAAATTATTATTGTCTGCGCCATTTTCATGAGGTGTGGCCTGCAAAAAATAAGTCGAGAAATACCTCGAAATTCTATTAATGAAAATGTAAGAAAATGATGCAGGGTATTTTTGATATTTCACCCTTGTAACATAAATGTTACCTTTCCGCCTAATATCACAACTTACCGATATTTGTTGAACAGTTGATGAACTTTGATTAACTTCAGAAGAGGTTCCAACTGGAGTGGCATTTCGCATACCAGAAGATACAGTACGCAATTCTGTCGGACGATTTGCAACACCTGGATCGAACATTTTCTGTTGTACAGCTGAATTACGCGAACCGACCGACATGGAAGCGATCTGCGGAGTACATGATATGGTGTATAAATCCTAAGGTCCATTTAAACAATCAATAGAAGCGAGTCATTATGCAAATTTCCTCGTCATTTTCAAACAATCAATAAAATAAATACCTGTGCAGGAGAGTGAACGTTGGACGGATCGTTCCCGCGCGATATAATATAACTAGAGCTGCTTTGTTGTGAACACGGTCGTATAGTACTGACTGTTTCCGGCACTGGTGCTCTCCCTACGGAGCCTGATAAATGATCAACTGAACCAACGCTTGAATGATTCGGAACGGAAGACGGACCCATGGAAGACGTCGAACAAGGTCTCATTTCGGTTGAGCAATGGCTTTGGATGGAACCTGGTTGTCTGTCAATTACAAGCATTGCACTGGCAGGAGAAGACTGTGTCGAACCCATAATGGCATTTGGTTGCTGACCTCGCTGCTGTGGAGTTGAGGGTTGTGAGCTTAGGTTATGCACATTATTATTCTCCACTTTACAAGGAAAAGTATCTGAAATGATAAAATTTTTGTAAATCTGCCAGCTTGTGGTGCAGCACTGGAATTTCAGAACTTAAATTAACTTCACACAGCTAAGATTCTGCATGTGACCAAATTTTAAACTGAATTAACAGCAGCAATATCCAGAATACCTGCAGTGATCGGCATGGCAGATGAGATAACGCTGTTGCTGGCTGCAATACTGTTCTGTACTGTGAGCTCAATTTCACCCGGATTAAGAGTTGCTGCATCGCTGAAATACGCAACTTTTATATGCAGCAAATAAATTCATCAATTCATAACAGTTTACTCGATCGATTTTTTTCTGCTCTTGATAAACGCAACAATATCCATAAGCCGTTTTTAGATGACCTGAATATCCACTAAAGCTAAACCATACAGCAGTTTTCGCTTAATTGTGAAAAAGAAGTCAAGTTACTGATGCCAAGTCCAAAAGAAGGTGTCAAAGATTGGAGCTCTGACATAAACTTTTATATGTGTTGAACACACTTCGATAAAAACGGAAAACTTGCTTTGGTTTTAATGTTCCGGCAGAGAAAACTGTATACATCGGCAAAATGGCAGCAACTTTAGCCTAGAAAATTGAAGCTACGGAAAAAATTCTAATATTTTTGAAGCGAATTGTAGGAATCAATGTCCAAATTTTAATTTCATGATCCAAAATAAAAATTGAATTTCAGAATGAAAATGATACAGTTAGAACTGAAACATATTTAATGGGATATCTCGTAATGAAACTGGTGGAACAACCACCGAAAACAAAGGAGGGCAAAATAGTACGAAACCTGTTCAAGCCAAGCAGCGTTCGCATTTGGAGCAGCGGGCCAGCTAACTGCTGCAATATTATTGAGTTCGGCTGCAAATTGACTACTCAAAGACAGTTGCGAACTGTTTGGTAACAACCCAGCAGCACCTTGCGCTGCCGAAAGTTCTTGGAGGTGATGAAGTGTTGAAGCCAGCAACGGGTTACTAACATTTCCAGCGGCTGGTGTTATACCTAAATGGTAGGGATGTAAAAAGTAATAGCTTATTGTCTCAACGGCTAATTCGGTTTCTATTTTCCCACAATCAAATGAATGTCAGTTTGACGGCTCTGCAGCAGGCGGTTCTAAAAAAGTTATTAGTGAAATAGTAAAAAAAAACGATATTCATGAATTTCTTAATCCTAGTACTCGCTAATAATGTTTTTATGCCCACATTTTCTCCAGAAATTAATGAATATAATGCTTGTTATGTCCCTTAAAAATGTATCATTTTGTATTTTACGAGAAAATGAGGTTTGACAACAGCACTTATAAAAAAAATTTCATGAAATTCCTTTACACTTGCTAAGCTATTCTGTGCTTGGAAGTATAGGTAGCAGGATTTAAGAAAGAGAATGACAGACTAAAAGGTATGGTCCTGGAAAATTCCATTCAAATCTAGGTCACAAGTTACCCACAAATACAAAAGATTGATCTATTTTATGCAAGGAAAAAGTCACACCTGAAAAAGTGGATGCAAACGACGGATTGGTAAATCCAGGGGGTAAAAGCGGATGAGATGATGTATTCTGTTGTTCCATTCATGCACACCTCTCCAAACACCCGGAAAATAACCCCAACATATCCGGGAACACTTGTACAACAAATAGCAACACCCGTTCACGAAATTCTGAAACACGTAAGTTCTATTCATTGATATTTACTTACTGTTCACCTTAGTCGTAGTATTTAAACGCAATGCTAAACCGTTTTCATAACTGCGATGAAATTTGTATGATCTTAGCTTGCAGGATACCTCCAGAATCATATCCATTTTATCCGTGACCGTTCCACTTCGCTGTTCCATAAAAAAACTACACCGGGACAAAGAAAATTCTCTACAAGAAAAAAAACAAAAACAAAAAACTAGAAGGGTTTCTCTGAAATTATAGTAACAGTTGTACACTTTATGACATAAGTAATCCTTACACCTATTGCATTCCGTCAGTTTATCATTACTAACGATTATTTAGAATTTAACAAAAAAGGCAACATATCCAAAGATATTCACTATAAGTTCTTTTTGGAAATACACAAAAGTCACATATCTATCTAAATTTATGTCCCATCGTTAAAATTGATCTTAACAAAAAGGAGAAAGTCGACGGAGTAAAGCTATGATTACTAGTATGACTGGACTGAAAACTTTCGGATGTATAATTCTGCAAACTTGCCGCAGATCCTCTCCCCCCCAAGGGATACTGAAAAAGGAACTATCGATACGAAATCATACCAAAAAGCAGGCCACCAACAAGTAGAAAAGGCTTTGATAAACAGAAAAGCAGCAGGTTCATAATCTTATTACGGATCCTGTTGTTCCAGTACGCAGTTTTAGGTTTAAGATATCTTTCTTGGAGTGATTAAACAAATCTTGAAAATTAGATAAAATACTGCTGACTGACAGTGAGACATGTAACCTTAAAAGTTCAAAAGTGGAGGAATTTGGACGGAACGAAATGCAATAATAATTAAACCTGACTGACATCTGAATAGATGTAAAACTAGCCTAATGGACATAAAACCCTCTAAACGATAGATATGATGCAATCATCAGCATATCCACACTTACGACCGATGAATAGTTTAGGTATATACCGGGGAAAATGAAAAACGGTAAGAAATCATTTTAACATACAGTTAGAGCAGTTAATCAACTAATTAATTAATCAGGGTGATCGGATCGATTCTTTGATTACTGTTAAGTGAAGGTGAAAAGGCAGTTAATTCCTGCCGTTATCTTTCCCTTCTTTTGCTAGGCATTTGGTGACTTTAAACGGATAGTTCAAATTCTTTTTGATGTTAGACTGATTAATACCACATAAACTAACCTACAAGTGATAGGAAAACAAAAAGAGTATGGAAATGGATCTACTTTTGTTGTTACAGCAAATTTTATACTGTTCGTTATCTATCTCGCCACCACAAATGATACTGTTGGCATAGAATATATAGACAAGATGATTCTAACTGATAACGAAAAAAAAACGAAAAACTCAAATCAGATGAAAAGCAAGATGCGAAACGAATAAGCAATCGTTATTTGTTGGGGAAATATGTTGCTTTCATGTTCCATGCTTGCCTTATTTGGTCAACAAATGCAACGGTTGATTTTTCTATGAGATCTGATAAGTGATATAAGCCAAATTGTTACAGCAATAATGCATAACATCATAATGTTATTGTTCGAGCAAAACAAACCCACTTCTTCCATCCACTTGAACAAATTCCCAAATAAAAAAAAGGATGAAGTCCCCGAGAAAATGGGATGTTCGCGACGGATCATTCAGCGCCCATTCGCAGAACAACGGAGAGCGTTCCCTTCCCCTCCCCTCTCCCCATCCTCCTCTTCCCACCACCTCTTCCCGGCCGCAGTACGCAAGCCTCGTCGCTCGCGTTTGTTCTCCTTATACTCTCTGGTTCTCTCTATTATCCGTACTCTTTTATGGGTCCTTTCATTGCTTTTCCACGATTTATATTCGTAAAATCAATATCTCGTGTTGACGTATACATGTTAGTTATAAGGAACAGGCAGGATGATAGGGTGTTACGATCTCGAAGGTGTACGTACGTGTGCATATGACTTTCGTACTTTTGAGAAGGATAGAGAGAGATATATATATGGAAAATATAACTACTTTGGCTGACATCACTTGTCTCACGTTAGCGTTGCATCACGTCAAGAAGAATCGTGTCGATAGTATCCGAATGTGACATCATTAACAAATTGATGCCACATCCAGATAAATCACCGCTCGACATTTTCTATCCTTTTATATGTCACCATAATCAGTGACATATTTCTTATTTGCTCAACAGTAGAGCTTATATTAACACCTTTCTTTCTCGGTTCTGATGCTTATACCCACGGGATTCTTTGCGAATTATTGGTAACCGGGGTTACTCATCCTGCAGCACTTCCCTTCATTTGCTGTATAAAAGCATTCGTCCTTCTACGCGGTCCTGTACGTGTGTACAAGTGTGTTTGCGCGTGTACATCTCTGGATGAGTGTTTACGTGCGTGTATACGTATGTGTACGCTTGTGTATATGAGTGTACGAGTGTGTACGCGTGTGTGTCCGTATGTGTGTACGAATATACAAATGCGTATACGTGCGTGTGCATGTGTGTACGAGTGTGTTTGCGTATATACGTCTGTGTATGAATGTGCACATGTGTGTATTTATATTTTATATATATTACATTATATTTATATTTTATATTATATTTATATATGTATTTATATTTTATATTTATATACGTGTGTACGTACATGCACATATACATACGTTTCTATACGACTTTTCACGTGTATTTGCGTGTTTTTGTATGTGTTCATGTGGGTATAATTGTAAAAAAACGTGTATGCGTGCGTGTCTACATGTATGTGCACGGCGTGTTTGCGTCTTGCGTGTACGGGGTGTGCATACGTGAATGGGAAGGAAGAAAAGAGGGAAAGAGCTGCCAAAGACATATATTTTTTTTCGTGTTGCAGTACTTTTTCAGGTATAATGTTAAAAATGGTCGTACGTAGGTCTCCTGTGGGAGCGCGTAACGCTTAGCTGTCAAACTGTCCCATTTAATTCGTCCACATTGATTATATTGTTTATAACTGGAATGTTTTAGTTAACCGTTCGTTTTTTTT